TCACTGTAACCTCCAACTCCTGGGCTTCAGTGATCCTCCTGCCTCAGCCTCCTGAGTAGCTAGGACTACAGGCATGCGCCACTACACCCGGCACATTTTTAAATGTCTCGAAATCTACTGAATGAATAGTATCGAGAGGGTGTGAACCATAGCCTAGCCCCTGAGCTTTGGGGCCCAGAAGAAAGGACTTGGACAAAGTTCTCTGTTGAGCCTACAGGTCTCCAGAGCATGAGAACCAAGAAGTCTCTAGACACCGAAGGTAGAGGCACGTGCTTCTGACCTCAGGTGTCCATCTGATAGTTGTCAGGGATTGGAGTGACTCAAGAATGAAGACAGCCTGGGTTTCCTCTTCTCCAGCTTAAGAAGATAAAAGAATAAAATTGCTGCTGTTCACAGAAAACGTAGAGGAGACCATGGAGGCTCTGGCCTCAAGGCACGCAGAAAGAGGTGAGAACGAAGGGTGTGGGGGAGGGAGAATCCAAGCTTCTTACGGCAAGAAAAGAGGTTGGGTGACCGAGGACTTGCCGTGGCTGAGAAGAAACCAGGCTGTAAACAGATTAAGTCTGGAAGCTCAAACAGCATCACCTCCCTCTTACGGCTTCCTTCTCCTCCCACAGCTCTTCATACTCAAGCCTCAGCCCTTGCCCAAGATGTGGAGGATGAGACCACGTTTCAGGTGGGTTGAGTTTTATTTTTCTTTCCAGAAATACCACCTCAGGCATCACAGAGTAAACATATCTCCCTCTCTTGGTGTAAAAGGGGAAAAAAGGAAAAAAATGTATTGGGTAAGTACCTTACAGGTCTCATTGCAGTTATCCACAAAATAGCTGTGTGAGAAAGATGGTTTGATCCTGTTTTATACAAGAAATGAGTGGTGAGTCCTGGATTTAAACGGCCACCTCCATAATCTGCAACTCTGTTCTACATGCTGCCTGCCAATAATAGCTTCACGTGGGGGTCTGAGCCCAAATTATGCCAAGAGGTGACTCACCAAAGAATGAATCCTCCTTCTCTGCCTGGGTTGTTCTCTGATACGGGACCTTTCTCTTATTTGAAAGATCAACGTTCACTGTTGGAGTATGGAGACATGGTTACATTTGTATAATTGCAGGAGCATTCAGCCTTTCTGGAAGTTCTGCATACCTCTGGTCCAGCATTTCCCACTCCAAGGATTTATTCTAAATGAGAACAAATGCTCAAAAAATGGTCACTGCAGCACTGCTCATAACAGAAAAAAAAAACATGTTCATCCATTGAATTGATGAATTATGGTTTCATTCTGTTGTCTAGATCTAAGCTGCCATCAAGTGAGATAAAGTGGATGAAAATATTTGGACATGGGAATAGGCTCTCTCAGTATATACATATATATCGACTTAATTTTTCTTTTAAATTGAAAAAAAAAATCAGAGCAGTTGCAGAATTTTAAGTACACGTTTTATCACAATGTGAAAGATTATTTTCTAAAACCTTCCCTTATGAAAAGAGATTATGAAAGAATTTTGAAGGTTTGAGTCACTTTTTTTACTATATGTTTTAATCTTAAAATACTATTGATTGACTTCCTGCTATAAGATCTGAAGAAATTAGCCCATTTTTACTTGCCACCCTCTCCTGTATTATGTTGTTATTGTCATTGTTACCTTCTGATTTGTCACCATCTATTCCCCCAGTTGAGTAGCAGTCGAGTGTCAATCCTGTGTGACGAATTCACCACCTCTCCTTTTACCTTAGCTGCTTTATCTGGATTTATCTGTTGGTTGCCTTAATTTCATCAAACAATGGTTTTTCCAAAGACTTGTGGCTACAGTGGCTACAGTGTCCTCTGAGTTTCTCCCTGTTTAAGAATGTCTGTTGCCTCTATGCTCAAATGGCAAATTGCATAGGCTTAAAATTCACCTTGCCTTCCTTCTTATTAAACATATATCAGTAAGTTTAAAAAAAAGAGTCAAATTATTAATAAGTGAAAAAAATGCCACCATGTTACTTGTTCAAGACACATTGAGCACCTAGAAAACAAGGTCATGCACCAGGAATTAGAGAGATTAAGTGAGAAAGAGACAGCCCTGCCGTCATGGGGCAGTGCCGGCAGCCCCCAAGACTACTCCTGGGTTCTATGATTCACCAGGAGAACTCACAGGACTTGATACATGGTCACACTCATGGCTGGGGCTTAATACAGTGAACGAAAATAAAGTGCAGTCAGGAAAGGGAAAAGATAATGGGCTGAAATAGGTTGACTTACAAATGTGCGATTGATTTAATAAATGATCCTGTCACAATTGCCTATGTATCTTGAAGAAAATGCAGTTAAATGGCAACCTTATGCCATTTACAACAATAAATTACAGCTACATTAGAGATTAGACATTTTTAATGTTATGATGATTTAAGAGCCATTTTGTTGCCTTTTTGATTAAGCTTAGGATGGGTGTGGCCTTTTGAAGCCAGGTTTTCAAAAGGGAACTCACAAATCATTTCATTATATAAAAATTTTAAACTGCTTTATGGTCAAGCCACCATTCAGAAGGTAAAGAGTGAGAGAAAATAACTGGAACACTTTTGACAGGCAAGGTAACAACCCTACTATTAAAAGAGCTCCTAACAACGTGATACGAATTAATGAGAAGATAGACAAAAGCATTTCATAAGCAATTCACAGATGAGAAAATACAAACACAGCCAATAAACACAGGAAAGGGTGCTTACGACGCTTACTACGCAGGGAACTGCGAAGTAAAATGGGAAAACTTTGCCCTGCGCCCTCTGTCGGATCAGCAAAAATGTTAAGTACCGATACATTCTTGAAATTAGAGGTGTGGGGAACAGCATGAATTACTACTGAAGCCAAGCTAAGACAAACAGTTCTTTTTTTTAAACTTATTGATACATGTTTAATAAGAAGGAAGGCAAGGTGAATTTAGAAAGGTTTAGTGAAAAAAATCAGCTCACTCTTAACTTGTAATACCTTGTCATAGGTACCCCAGGGACAAGCTAAAGGCAAAGTATGATTCTGAAAGTCCTTATATACAATTGTCTGCCTCTCAAGAAAACACGTCACAGTCCCTGTGAAGACAGCGATGATATCATAACAATATAGTTGAATACTATATTGCGAATACATCACTGCCATTTTTTTCCTCACTGGACTGGAGCAGTTGGCTTAAAACACTTAGGCCACGCACAATTCATAACTAAGAATGACACAGCATGGTTTGAAACTGCGTGTTTTGAATCGCTGCTTTCAAGATCTCATCTGATTGAGGAGATGGTTGCATAAAAACGCATGAGTTGCTTTCTGTCACTTGTTGACATGGAGGCCCATAGAAAGGGTATTGGCGGGGGACAAGATTTTCCGAATTGCTGATGGAGGGGTGAGAAGGTGAGTGGTGAAGAATAATCATTGCGGCAGAGAAAATGATTTTTGCAGTGTGTACAGAAAGGGGCACTCTAAAATTCAGCATTCCTGCAACTGTAAGTTGTCACAGTCTTTGTGGAGGAGAAGTTGGCAATCTGTGAGTTAGACTCAAATTGAAAAATGTACAGACCCAGTGAGTCAACCATTCCACTTCTGGGAAAATACTCTCAGAAGTGCTCACAGTATGCAGAGGATGTGAGTGTTCCTGGCTTGACTCTTTGGATATCTGTGGAAGAATTTTGGTTAGAATTCAAATTTCCGGCACCAAGCACTAATAGACTGGATTTGACTGGCCAAACTGAACATCTTCCTGCTTTCTTGTCTGCTTTCCTTAGTGATGGCAAATTTATCATTGGTCTAGTCGATGTCTGTGTTCATGATGCTTTACATTGCAGGAGCCATTGACCTTCAAGGACGTGGCTGTGGTCTTCACGGAGGAGGAGCTGGGGCTGCTGGACTCTGCCCAGAGGAAGCTGTACCGAGACGTCATGCTGGAGAACTTCAGGAACCTGCTCTCTGTGGGTGAGGGGAATCTTTCTGGATACTTGAAGCTGGACTTATTGGAGTGTTCTTGTTCCCCAGAGAGAAAAAAATTTTTTTTTTTTTTAAGTTTTTTTACACGGCTTAAGTTCTTTTTATATAGAACTGTTTGTCTTAGCTTGGCTTCTACAACAAATTGTCATAGACTAGGTGGCATATAAACAACAGAAATTTTTCACAGTTTGCAGGCCGAAGTCCAAGGTTGGGGTGCTAGCATGGTCAGGTTCAGGTGAGGGCCCTCTTCTGAGGTGCAGACTGCTGGCTCCTTTTTGCATACTCACATGGCAGAGAAGGGCAAGAGAGCTCTCTGGGGTCTCTTTAATAAGGGCACTGATCTCATGCCTGAGAGTTCCACTCTCATGACAGAATTATCTCCCAAAGACCCACCACTAACACCATGACACTGGGGTTTACAATTTCAACATAGGAAGTTAGGGGCACACAAACATTCAGTCCATTGCACTGTTACAATGCAGTTTCATTTGGCCGGTGATGAATCATTTCCTTGTCTATTCTTCCAAGGCCTACAGGTCACAGGATGAGGACTGCATTTTCAGATTATTTTTTGTATGTCCAGTAATGAGCCTCAGCCTTGTATCTTCTTGAATTTTCAGGACAACAACCTTTCCAACCTGATAAGATATCCCATTTGGAACAAGACAAAGAAGCTTGGGTGCCAGATGGAGAAACTCCACGAGATGCATATCCAGGTGAGAGCCATGGGGTCTAGAGTCCTTGGAGATGAGAGCCTGGCTGGGCAGTGAGGGGCTGAGCTTATCACACAAGAGGCCCAAGTTCCTACCCTTGCTAGGCTGTGGATGCTGCAGGCACCATAGGAGGTGACTGCTCTGCGACCTCATTTTTGCCGTTCAGTTCCTACCTTGCCATGGTTCCTTCCTGCCTTTCAGAGAATGGTATACCCAGTGACGGCTCTCTGGACTTTCCTCCCTCTGATAGAAACAGCCAGGCAGTCTAAGGCAAGCCATTGGCAGAGAGACTGTTCTAGAATACTGAAAGTGCTCAGATGAGTTTCTCACTTGACTCCAGTATTCTACAAGTCCCTGGTTATAAACAGATGCTTATTACCTGGGCCCTAAAAGAGAAAAATAGCCAATGAAGAATATCAGAAATCATGGACAAATTTTTAAAGACATCTGGGACTACAGGATAAATCTGACAGTTTTATCATTTGCAACCAGTAATGGGCATTAGTCGAATTCTTACATCTTCCTGCCTGCCTTCCTGTATGGTTTGGATTCCTATTGAATCGGCTCACAGCAGACACGGACACAGCTGGTGCACTTGGGAGGATTTGGTGCCTTGTTCCCTCCCCAAGTTCAGCTCACACATACCCAGGAGTAAAGAACACCTGGGAGGCAATGCAGAGAGAGGGCTAAGTGGGCCCTAAACCCAGACTTCCTACAATCAAATCCCAGCTCCTCAAAGAATTGTGGGTGTCATGTACTAGGTCACTTTCTCTCTGCCTTGGTTTCATTTTCTAGAAGATGATAATGGCACCTACATTAGTGTTATTCTGAGGATTAAGTATGGGTACATTGGCACATAAGAAGTGTTAGAATAGTGTTAGATATCTTTATTGTTAGCAATAAAATATTACAAAGTGAATTTTCTCTGTAGAAATCTGTTCAGAATTTCTCTTTTTGCATGACAACTCTGTGATGAGACATAGTTTGTTACTAATGTGATCATTTTAGCATTTAGCTTGAAAGTTTGTTAATAGGACCTTCTTCCTTTATATCATCAGGTATAAAAATAAGTGCCCTAATAGTTAAAGATATAAAGCTAAATTTTTCTCTAGGCCATTATTGGTCCAAGCCTGAAAGCCTGCTGTCCCTGAGCCAGTCTTTTACTTGTTCTCTTCTCTGAATTGTCTTTAACCCCATAGGAGACCAGAATGGAAAGGATATGGAATATATTCAAGAAAAGGAATTAAGGTTCCTTTCACACAAAGAGCTCTCATCCTGGAAAATCTGGGAACAGGTGGCTGGTGAATTAACTAGGAGTCAAGATTGTCAAATGAATCTTCAAGGGAAAGATTTCCAGTTGTCAGAAGATGCTGCCCCCTGTCGAGTGTGGGAAGGAGCGTCTACTCAGGGTTTTCGAACTGAGAATCTGGTGGACATTCTACAAGGGGACAGACCCATCAGTGTAGAAAAGCAAGAGTTTCCATCCTGCAGAGCTGTAAAACCAGTCCCAGCTCAAGATTCTTGGACGAAAGCCTTTGTGAATGAGCCATGGAATGTTCAAGAAAAATGTAAAAAACTCTACATGGGAGATACAGTATATCAATGTGATTGGGAAGATTATAGCTTCCACTGGTTATCACATCGTCATGACGCCCACAGATTCTCTGAAAGAGACGGGCTGTGTAATTGCGATAAATGTAGAAAAGACTGCGTCAAGAAGTCGACACCTCATCACCCTAACCCTGGAAAGAATGGTTTTAAAAGTAGTGAATGTGGCTTGAAGGATGATTCAAACCTTCCCACCCATCCAAGGATGCCCTTCAAAGAGAAACTCTGTAAATATCATGAGTTTGGGAAGGGCTTGAGGCAGAGTGCCTGTCTCGCCTGCCGTCAGAGATTTCCCACAGAAGAGAAATTGTCTAAGAGTCTGGAGCACGGTCGGGGCTTCAGGCAGAACACACACATTCACAGCCATCCCCGGGTCCCTATGGGAGAGATGCCCTACCGATGCGATGTCTGCAGGAAGGGGTTCAGGTATCAATCAGTTCTGCTTATTCATCAGGGGGTGCACACAGGAAAGAAACCCTATAAATGTGAGGAGTGTGGGAAGGCCTTTGGTCGGAGCTCAAACCTGCTCGTCCACCAGAGGGTTCACACTGGAGAGAAACCTTACAAATGCGGCGAGTGTGGGAAGGGCTTCAGTTACAGTTCGGTGCTTCAAGTCCATCAGAGGCTACACACAGGGGAGAAGCCCTACACGTGCGGTGAGTGCGGCAAAGGCTTCTGCGCCAAGTCGGCGCTGCACAAGCATCAGCACGTCCACCCAGGAGGAAAGCCCTATAGCTGCGGCGAGTGTGGAAAGGGATTCAGCTGTAACTCCCACCTCAGCAGTCACCAGAAAACGCACACAGGCGAGAGGCCCTACCAGTGTGACAAGTGTGGTAAAGGTTTCAGTCACAACTCGTACCTTCAGGCTCACCTGAGGGTTCACGTGGGGCAGCACCTCTATGAATGTGACGTATGTGGTAAGAGCTTCAGCTACAGCTCAGGGCTCCTCATGCACCAGAGACTGCACACGGGAGAGAAACCCTACAAATGCGAATGCGGGAAGGGCTTCGGCCGGAGCTCAGACCTGCACGTCCATCAGAGGGTCCACACGGGAGAGAAACCATATAAATGTGGCGAGTGTGGGAAGGGCTTCCGACGGAATTCAGACCTTCACAGTCACCAGAGGGTCCACACAGGAGAGAGACCCTACGTATGTGACGTGTGTGGGAAGGGCTTCATTTACAGCTCTGACCTCCTCATCCACCAGAGGGTCCACACAGGTGAGAAACCCTATAAATGTGCTGAGTGTGGCAAAGGCTTCAGTTACAGCTCAGGGCTTCTCATCCACCAGAGAGTCCACACAGGCGAGAAACCTTACAAATGCCAAGAGTGTGGAAAGGGCTTTCGGTGCACCTCGAGCCTTCACAAACATCAGCGCGTCCACACGGGAAAGAAGCCCTATACGTGTGATCAGTGTGGCAAGGGATTCAGTTATGGCTCCAACCTCCGCACCCACCAGCGGTTGCACACAGGAGAGAAGCCCTACACGTGTTACGAATGTGGAAAGGGCTTCAGATACGGCTCAGGTCTCCTCAGTCACAAGAGGGTACACACTGGCGAGAAACCATATAGATGCGACGTGTGTGGGAAAGGCTACAGTCAGAGCTCACATCTCCAAGGTCACCAGAGGGTCCACACTGGCGAGAAACCCTACAGATGTGAGGAGTGTGGGAAGGGCTTTGGCCGCAGCTCCTGCCTTCACGTCCATCAGAGGGTCCACACTGGAGAGAAGCCCTATAAGTGTGGGGAGTGTGGGAAAGGCTTCAGTTATAGCTCAGGTCTGCGAAACCACCAGAGAATGCATTTAGGTGAGAAACCTAAGTAGATGGAAGTTGAGGTTTCCGGTTGGAACTCAGAACTTTCTATTCCTCCTGGCCAACCCAGGAGGAAAACCTAGTGAAAGTGATGGGCAGGAGGGGCTGCAGAAGGAGCTGGTGTAGACAGCCGTCAGCTAGTCTACACAGGATGGGAAGACCTGGAAGTGTGATAGACAGGTGGCACTTCAGTCACACATGTCAGTCCTTAGGAGTCTCCTGCTCGGCAGAGTAGTCACAGGAGGGGATTAATAAAAATCGTCACTGTCATCAGAGTCAGCCTAGGAGAGAGCTTTCACAAGTGTACAAGTAGTATCCAAGGTGCACATTATTTATGGACACGGTTCCTGGTGGGGGAGATACCAATGGGACAACATAGGAAAAGGTTATCACCTTACTATAACCGATATCATATGTACCTTTAAAAGATGGTTTTAGTGCTCGCTTCAGGAGCACATATACTAAAATTGGAATGAAATGGAAAAGATTAGCATTGCCCAATTAAAAAAAAAAAGATGGTTTTATAAAAATGGAAAGATGACATTAATGTTTATGGAAGCAACTCATTTTTAGAAGGCCAAGAATAGTTAAAGCCTTTCTCTGGGCAGGTCTGGGTGATGTGTCTCCCTCACATTTAAATCATATTTTTCCGATTGTGTTTTATCTCACAGAGGTAAACTTTGCCGCTCTCAGAGAGACGGTGGGCAAACTGCAGGAATATGGCTTGTTACCAGGTTTCAAAAACAAAATATGATTGGCATCGCATTGTATTTATTAATTGGCATTGCAGTGAATTTATGGTTTAATTTGGAAAGAACTTGCATCTTCAAAATGCTAATTTTCTTTTCCATTTTGAAAAAATACTGTTTGTTTCCACTTAGTCAAGTATTTGTGACCCCTCAGTTCTATTTTTTAGAGATGAGTAAAAATAGGTTCTGGGCCGGGCGTGGTGGCTCATGCCTGTAATCCTAGCACTCTGGGAGGCTGAGGCGGGCGGATTGTTTGAGCTCAGGAGTTCAAGACCAGCCTGAGCAAGAACGAGACCCTGTCTCTACTAAAAAAAAATAGAAAGAAATTATCTGGACAACTAAAAATATATAAAAAAAATTAGCTGGGCATGGTGGTGCATGCCTGTAGTCCCAGCTACTCGGAGGCTGAGGCAGGAGGATCACTTGAGCCCAGAAGTTTGAGGTTGCTGTGAGCTAGGCTAATGCCACGGCACTCACTCTAGCCAGGGCAACAGAGTGAGACTCTGTCTCAAAAAAAAAAAAAAGTTCTGAATATTCTTAAGTGTATTTCTAGGAAGATGTTTTGTTGCTATCATGAATATTTTTTGCCCCATTTCATTTCACAGCTTTTAAAAAACATACCAGACAGATATGAGAACATCTTATGAATCAGAAATGCCATGTTCAACTTGTCAAATTAGCATCGATAAAAAAGATTCACCAAATCTGGCCAGGCCAGCTGGCTCACGCCTGTAATCCCAGCATTCTGGGAGGCTGAGGCGGAAGGATCACTTGAGCTCAAAAGTTCGAGACCAGCCTGAGCAAGAGAGAGAACCCATCTCTACCAAAGAACAGAAAAAATTAGCCAGGCATGGTGGTGTGGGCCTGTAATCCCAGCTACTGGAGTGGCTGAGGCAGGAGGATTGCTCCAGCCCAGCAGTTTGAGGTTGCTATGAGCTATGCCAACACCATGGCACTCTAGCCCAGGCAACAGAGTGAGACTGTCTTGAAAAAAAAAAAGATTCACCAAATCCACCATCAGTGTGGGGTTGTGGAAACATGCAGTATGACACATTTATTGGTGAGAGAGAATGAAAATAAGGTACATTTTTGAAAGAATCTGTCAGTGGGTCAAATTCAATTTGTGTAAACTTGAAGTGGCAATAAGTGTGTACATGGGAGACAGTTGCACATGTGGGCAAAGACATACATGCAGATGACTGAGTTTCTAGCATTTTTTACAACAGCAAAAAAATGTTAATGTCCCAAGTGTTCATGGGTAGGAAATTGTATAAGGCTCATGTATACAAGGGAAAAATCGCTAAAAATCTTCAGGTACACCTATAATGATATTGAAGATCGCCCACAAACTATTTAGTGAACCAGGAAAGTTGTAGAACAACAAATATAACATGATACCATTTTGTTAATATATTTTTAAGTGTGTGTTTAGAGAGAGAGAGAGAACAGTGTGAGAGGTCAGTGCCATAACTGCTATCTCTAGCGGGTGGGATACGGGTGGCGTAATACAGTCATTGTACTTTGTGTATTTTACCTTTTAACAAAGCATATGTCAATTTTATAATAACAGTAAAGCTATTTTTTAAAAAATCTGGTAAAATAATCCCTTGGTTAAAGATCCATGTTAAACCTCTATTATTTATTTATTTGGTTTTTCTACAGTTCACTTAGCTCCTGGTACCGAATATACGGGATAAGGTATGAGCTGTGAAATTTATGATTAAATACTCTCTGAGGCTGCGTCATTTTTGCTGCTGGTAGGCGACGAGGCAGTAGGCAGTCTGGGGAACTGGGAGGAGCCATGGCAGTTCCATTCTGCACGGTGGCCTTTTCAGACCAGCCTGGCTTTGCAGAGGGCATTACACCACTATGTGCGCCTCCCTCTGGCTGACCCAGGAGATCTGGGAGCTATTCTGGGCTAAGTTCCTCTCTGTTGCCTGTGGCTGCCAGACAAAGAGAGTCTTAAGTTCTAGACATGGGGGGTGAGTGGAGAATGGGCACTTTATATCTAAATAAATAACATATCCAGGGGTCAGAGCAAAGTGTCAGTGGTAGGAAATGGTTAGATTTTGGAAGAGGGCTAGGTGAAAAAAGCAAACCTTAAGTATGGAACCACAGCAGGGTCACTCAGGTGATGGGGTAGGGTTTTATGGCCATCAGAACAAATGTACACACCATCTCTGCCCCTCAGACCTTCAGAGTTTGTGGTTGAAAAGTTTAACTCACTCAATAGATTCCCAAAGGTCTACAGGAGCCTCTTATTTCTGGGCAGTCTCTCCCCAGCGTTCTGGAGGCAGCTGCCCGATGCTGGACTGGGGCCCAGAGCAGCTGCTTCCAAGATGGCTTTAGGCAGAGCCTCGGGTCTTTGCAGGTTGCTCAGGGAGGTCTCAGTTCCATACCACGTGGGCGTCTCCACAGGGGATACCCGAGGGACTTCTTGACACAGCAGCTGACTTCCCCGAGTGAGTGATCAGAGAGGACAGAGCAAGCAGGAAACCACGGTGCTTGTCATGACCTAGTAGTCCCTGAAGTCACTGTCACTTCTGCTTTGTTCTGTTCATTAGGAGTCACCAAATCTAGGCCACAGTAAGGGGAAGGGTGTCAAAGAATTTGGACATAATCTTGAAAAAGAAGATGGGACGGTGCTGCCAGCAGTCGGTCTGCTCTGTGCACTTGCTCTAATCTTTCTCCTTTCCACTCTGGGGTCTGCTAGGGGCCTTCCTTCATGTCCCACTGGATTGCCTGTAGTTTACCCAGATGCCAACCAGCTGACAGGATTTCAGAAGCAGTAAGGGATACAAGACGGTCAAGGGGAGAGAGCTGCAACTGCCGTGGGATGGGTCACTTGTGGGGGCAGGAGTACAGTGCTTTCTATGAGACAAGATGAAGTTACTCTCTGTTGTCATTCTTGGAACGTTCTATGGTAAGAAAGTGAATACAAGTTTAAAAGAAGCTGGAGAGTTATAAAAGACCATCTGTGGGGGTAAAGTCAAAAATCACATGTTAATACAGAGAGACAGATACTGACCAAGGTGGCTCTAACCAGAGTGGGTTAGGAGGGAGGGGGGATGGGTCTGGTCCAGATTATAAACATCTTGACAGTAGGGTTATATATCCTACCAACAGGCTGATGACATGGCTGGTTTCTAAGGCGGGTGTAGAGACTCAGGATACCAATATCCCTGGAGTGTTTGTGGCTCTAAAGAAGTTGCAACTATTTCTCAGGACCATCCTCAGCCTGAATGCAAAGATCTCACGTATAACAAGGGCCCAGTGTTACCCCATCATCACATGGAAAATGAAGCATGCCAAGTGGGTGAGGTCATCTGCCAACCACCATTAACATGAGGTGGTATGATGGTAGGTTAGAAGTTCAATGCACGTTATTCATACTTGAGTGACCTCTCGCATCCTGATGTGTTGCTAGGAACACTGAAGACACCTCAGCCTGTTGTTGCCCTGGACTGACTTTAGGGTCACACATAACATAGTGTCATGCAGTTGGGCCAGCAGCAGTGCCTGCATGTCATATTCAACCTCTTGAGTTGCTACTGCTGACGTTCAGCCAATCAGTAAATTATTATGTGTCGGGCCCTGCTTAAAGCATGGGGGCAACCATTAAGCCCCCATGGGTCCCACTTTCTACCCTTGGGAAAAACATGGAGGAAGACAAGAAAATAAATTCCAGAATGTGCCAAATGCTTTGAAGGTAAGAAAACGGGTGACGTGTGCCTGAGGCGTGACATTTGAACCAAGACCTGAAGGACGAGAAAGATCCAAGCATTCAAAAGCTGGAGGCGGAAGGAACAGTGCGAAGGATCGAAAGTGGGACCGTGTTTTCTGGCAACAGAAAGGAAGCCAGTGAGTCTAAGAAGTACCGAATGTGGGGGAGGACAGATGAGATGAGGTTCGAGAAGTAGGTGGCTGTGATAGGTTAATGATGCCATAAAATCTTTCCCACTCCTTGTGTTGACAGCTGAGAGTCTAGTTCCCATCCGCCAGCCCAGGCTGGCCTTAGTAACTTATTAACCAACAGAAGTTGGAGGGAGTGATCACGTGCCAGTTTCCATGCTTAGGCCTTACTATCCAACACGGGTGGTGGTTTCCGCTTCCATGTTTTGGAGCACCCGCTCTTGGGGCCCTGAGCCTCTATGTAAGGCTGGCGGGGTCCAGCCATCCCTGCCAAGGCACCAGGGAGTGAAGCCCTCTTGGAGCCTCCACGCCAGGCCATCTGAATACCACCGAGGGATCCCAGAGGATGC